GCTGACAAGCTCAATGAACTTACCTATCACTTGCACAGACCCTGAAACACCCCATCATTGCCCTGTCCCCTTCTTACTTGCTGCTTGTCTGCCTGTCAAAATCATCAATTATAATTCCAATATTATTAATTATTTTTAAAATGACAAAACACGATAACTTTTGAAAGACATGGTTTGGCATCACTTATGCCATCAAGCCCCATACTCATATATTACTTTCTGCAAGCTGAAAACATGGGCCTAGTTAGTGGTTAAAGTGGTATATGGATAATTAAAAGTCACTGACAATGAAACAGATCTGAAAAAGTTGTTTCGGCTTTTTTTTTTTAGGATAAAATTACCTTTTAACCAGTAAAACTGTAAATACAATCAAATCCTGAAGTCAGAGATTCTTTTTGAATATAGTGACATATTCTTTGGAACTAAATACCTAATTAAGAATTGAAGTGAAAAAATTCCTACTAAACACTACAAATTTTAAACAGTTGTACCTGCATGGTAAAAAGTGTCAGATCTACTGTGACAACATTCATTAGTGGCAATGCCCTAGTGAATAATAAAGAATAATATCACCAGAGACAGAATAAAGATTACATGCCCTTGTCAAATGAGGTGGCATTGGTAAAAGCAAAACATAGCATCCATAATTATTCAGGCTTTTCTCTGCCCTGAAGTACACATGGATACCAACAGGCAGACAGATTAGGGGAACTTTATGAAATCCTCAAGGCTTTACCCATTCACCTCCAAGATCTCATTGGTAATTCTCCTTACTGTCTGCCATACAATTCTTATGATATTGGTTTAGAGAATTTGATATTAGTTCAAAAAATGATCCCCTAATTGATAATTTTCTTTATTCTCATCACTTGTCTGCTTGATCATCATGATATTGTATTGATATGGTAAGGAGAAATTCTGTCTCCATCACCTTTTAGAACCAGGATAAACTAAACAATTACAAGTCTTTAAGCACACAAGAGTTACCTTCTGTGTTCAACTCTGAGAGATAGTGCTTACAGAAAACTACAAGATGACTGCAGCCTTTTCCTTTCTACTTCACTGCATTGTAATCATCTGATGATATTACAGTGTATAGAACATTTTCTTACATAGAAAAAGACTTAGCTGTGTCACATCTCCACTTTCAGTTAATAACAAGGATGTTCAGGATTTCTATCTGGTGGCTGGTTAGGCATTAAATTTTATCTGAATCAATTCTAATAATTAATTAATTTGTAGGATTACTTGTTAATAAACATACTGGTCAGTTTTAATCTTTTTGACTCTGAAAAGCACAGGTGAAAGACTTACTATTTGTTAAGGCAAAAGATGATTGGATAATAAGCAAACAGTTGACATGTAGAAAACAAAAGTTTCAGTAGGCATACACTGAGTTTTTTTAACCAAAAACATATTGGATGTTGTTATGACTTAAGGTTCTTTTCACACTACTTTTCTTGTACTGGGTTAACAATGCAATATGTTTCTTTGATTGATTTTTATAGTACCATTGCTAAGGGATCAGTAACCCAACTGCCGATCAAAGAATCATCATAAACTAACACTAGGCCAGTTTTGCATAAATCATTAAGTCATTACAAAATAATACAAACTTGCACATAGACAAATGAATTCTTAGAATATTAAAAAATTGACATTGCTGCCAATTATTAAAACAAATTATTTTTGGACTACTGCAATTGGAAAAATTGTGAGGGAACAAAGATTGTGTGTCACAGCTAATAAAGAACTGTTCCCTCCAAAACTTCCAAAACCATCTAACAAGAATTTTTTGTATTTTAGGTTTTCAAAAAAGATATTGGACAACAACTGCTTGGGCAGATCATGCTTCAACATAATCACCATTGGCCACAGCCCAAAGAGCTCTGCAAAAAAAACAATGTAAATAGAAGAATATATCTAGTTTAGTTTCCTCCCACATAAAAACCACAACAAACCTATATAATTAAACCTGATACAATGAAATGGTAACTGCCAAAAATACAAACCAATTAAACCTGATACAATGAAATGGTAAGTTGGTTAAAAAAAAATTAGGTTTTAGCTGTTTCAAAATGCCAAGAAATTCAGAAACAATGGGAAAACATACCCTTAAAAACTAGTTCCTTTCATAGTTAATGATAAAACAACTTAACAGTGATGCAGTCTCAAAAAAACACTAGCAGGAACAGGGAATTTCATCTCTCTTCTTGTATCGGGCATACACTCCCTGCGAAGGCCTGATTGGAAATATTTCACTCAAAGTCATGACATACGCACCTTATTTTGCTCAGTTTACACATCATGACAGAGAGCAAAATATTTTCCTATCACACAACCCATATCTCAGTCAGTAGGCATTTTATCACGTGTATGTCCTTCTCTCTCTTTCTTCCTATCCTCTTTTTTTTTTCCATTCTGGTTATCTTGCACAGAGCTTGTCCCAGCCCTATTAACCCCATTGCACAAAGCCCTCACACAAGGATTTTTTTCATAACGTTTTCCAATAAGAGCACACGCAGGACTGTCCGTGGAATATGACAATTAACAAGTATTGACCATAGTGGAGGTGGCTAAAGGTGGATATTTACCCAGCCAAGAAGGAGGAGGGGAAATATTTTACCTAAGCCACCAATACTGAAATGAAGAATTGTTTTGGTATACACTAAAACAGTGAGATAATATAGCACAAAAAGATCACTTTCACTCATTCATTCCTGCAACAGTTACAAAAATTTCAACTCAAATCCCACATACATTGATTGAAGGTGAAAGGTAAAGGATATTTGGAGTTTGAGTGCCAATCATAGCATACCTTCAAGGCTATCCACTATTCTATTATATACTTAGACAAATTATCCCCAAATTAAGTAATCTGTAATAGTTTTACCTGCAGTCTTGGACTTGCTATGTGTGGATGACGAAAGGAAAGTAGTTCCTACAAGTACATAAATATTTGAAAATGTTTAAATATCATTAAACATCATAATGAGCATAGGCGAAATATTCACTGGTACAATTAATTGCAAGAGTCAGTAAAAAGGAAAAGTTGCTTCCTATTCCTTTGATATCTTATGCTCAATTTTTATTTTCTTTAAATAAATCAAGTTTTCATTTATAAACTGGCATCTGTGAATTGATACATAACTTTACAGCAAGGGCAACAATATACACTTAATGTATGGTCCCGAGGGAAACAGTTGGTCTTGTTTTCCCAAGAGTCTTAATGTTTAAAAATACAAAACTATCAACGAAATCGCTTCCTGACCTGATCTAAATACTTTCCAAGACTCATATGCGCCATCTTGGAATTCTCGTCCCCTAACGCATGCGCATCTTAATTTCCGCTGATTTTACCCTTTGGCGGGAAGTCTGCGCCGTCAAAAAGAACGCCTGCTAGAAAAAAAGGCAGCAAGAAAAGTAATAGGCCCTGGGGTCCCTGGAGTGCCTATCTTAAAGTGAGACTTTGTTTGGCGAATAAAAATTACTCTATGTCAGATCGCTGCATTAGGGTATGTATCTTGCACAAATCAGATCGCCTCAGATCGCCTATGTATGTAGAACCGATCAGATCACAGCCCTGAGGCCCCTAGAGTGCCTGTTTTTGAAAGTAAATTTTAAATTTTTTAATATTTCAATAGCTTTATGTAAGCACATAGAGTGGTATGTTACTTGCACCATAGGAGTATGTTTCCACCAATCAGAGCGTCAGGGTGTTGTCTTTCATGCCAATAATGTCGTGGTATTTGGCTGCCGCAAAGTAAATGTTGCAAAGTAATCAACCCAACATTAACATACACTAAGAATGGTACTGACAAAGAGCTTTGATCCTATCTACCCAGTTAAATGGATCATGTCCTTCGTGAAGACCTCGTCGCTAAGATCTGTCGAAATTAGAAAGATCTGCAGGGAAAGTTTTATCATTTAGAAGTTGACGCGTGTTTTGTGTACCGTTCCTTCGTGTACTTACAACGCACACATCGACAGCTAAAGGCCTAACACGAAATCATCACTGGAGTGTTTGTTTTGGAAAGGAAAATTTTGCTGACTCTGGTGAAAATCGCGCAAAGCATTTACATAATGCATATTTGAAGAGTAATCTTGTTTTTGCCTTATGGTTGGTTTTTTGCAAAGATTGAAAAGATCAACCGGCAGTATTTACGTTCTGCGTCGACTGCCATGTTGCATATCCGTCTCTTTGCTTTAAATATTCTTCACGATTTACTTCTTGTATTTAAACGGTATATTCTCGATTCAATTACGTGTTTGGTTGTCACATTAACTGCTTAGGCTTTCTCCGATGAAAAGACATTTTCCAGTAATCAACTTAAATTTACGACACATTGTGCATGGCAACGGTATCGCAAAGGTCATGGGTTCAAATCCCGTACAGGCCCGAATTTTTTCTTCTGGTCTTATTTTCACTACTTCTTGAGTGGTGTTCATCACTGTAGAGATCGCTTTCAGATTTATTCCTTAATCCGCAGCTCCCATATACGATTTTAACATATTCATAGTAATGGCATTACTTTGTTGTCTTTGTAAGAAGTGCTCGGTCAAAATTCTAGCCAGTCCTTGAAATAATGAATATTTCTGTGATGCGTTTGATAACTGTTGACTTTCATGTCAATATCACGGACTCTATCTTATACTCTGGTCACGGGAAAAAGCGGTTGAAAATTGCAATTTTTTCTCTCCTTTCCTTAAAAACGCTGCTTTGGTACAAATTAAAATCCGAATTATGCAATACTAAACACATCCATAGGGTGAGATCACATCCATTTCGCCTAAAAAAAGCTCTTTTTTCATAAAAAAATAAAAATGCCAACCTTTTGCAGTAAACTTCTTTATTTGACTCATCTCTAATGACTTAAAGTGCTGAGCTGAATTGACAAAATCTTATTTTGCTAACTTTTCATGAATTAAAAGATAACATTAAGCCCAAAAACTAAAAAAACAAATGAACAAAACACGAAAAGAAAAGAAAAAATCTGGTAGGAAATGGAAGCGAAGAGCCAGGTCAGATTGGTCATCTCATTCTTTGTGGAGGCTCTGCATTCGGTCGTTGGGGAAATTCATGGCTTTTGGACTTTCTTACCACTTGCCTGGCTCCAGTTGCTGTTGCAAGCCCTGATAGTTGGGCTTGGTGTAGGCTGCAAACCTCTCGTTCTTGGATAGCACGATGGTAGAGGAGACTCCTCCAACTCTCCCGGTTGGGAAAAAGGGGTTCAGATCTGGGCAACTTTCTTTAAACCACTGCACGAAATTGTGGAAAGAATAGAACCCAGATAAAGGAGAAACATCTTTCAAAAGAAATAATTTTGTACTAGCATCTAACCTCTAAGACACTAAGTAAAAGAATAAGCTCGTTTGCAGGAGTGTCTTTTGAGAAAAGTTTTAAATCTGGTTAAACTCCTCATTTGACATGAATTTTCGAAATCCACTAAATATTCTTCCAGGAACTGCGAAGGGAGATCTAGCACGAACCAGAGCTATGACGTTAACTGGGAAAAGTGTTACGCATTGTCACGAAACATACGCCGTTTGGTATCGAAGGGAAAGACAGGGGTATGTGGACAAAATAATCAGTTATACTCTTACAACAAACGGATCGCTTTTCAATACCTCTTGCGCCCTTAGATCAAGTGTCTGCATGATGTATAGATGATCTGTTTGTGATTCCTTATGAATATGAATCCATGTGGAAACAAGCTATCTTATTTGCCTCCGTCTAAGTGACTTTGAAGATTATTTATCGGAAATAATCTACTTTTTAGAAAAATGATTCCAGGCCCGAGTTCACTCACGGCCAATTTCCAACCAAAATAACTAAAAATCCTTGTTCAAAATTAAGAAAATGAAAAAGACGATCATCCTATAATCAATTTAGAACTAATTGCTACTTACTGCTGATTTTTTGTTGTCTTACGAGAATTGTAAGACAGAGCAGAGCGTTTTTTACAGAGGGCGTGAGCTGCCGATTATTGAAAGCTTATGTATTTTGCGTACCTTGTTGGATCCACCGTAGAAGCTATGCTCGAACAGAATGACTCCTTCTACCTGGTCCGGAAGGAGGAGCATGGAGCCATTCACACTCGAGATTTTTACATCTGGTCCAGGCTTGACAACCTTGTAGTTAGATGGGCCAGCACCATGTTGTGCGTCATTGTTGTTTGGGTAGGTGTAGAAGATCCAGGTTCCCGAACTAACAACGGCTTTTACGAAGGAAACACCATCCTTTTTCAGGTTCTCCTCTGAATCTGAAAACTCGTGGCTCAAACCGCTTCCGTCGTACAACTTGATGGACATGATGGATCAAACCTGGAATAGATTGACATGGAAATAACAAAACAGATGTAAAGGAATTTACTACTGATTACTTCGGACTGATTACTTCGCATTAAAGCCCGTTTTTGCACAGACGAGGCTTTAAGGTTAAAATTCCATCAATAAAAGCAATGGAAATCTCGAGAAATGAGCGGTCGAAGAAGGCAAGAATTTTCAAAGCGCCAAAACGGCTCTTCCGAATAGGGCCGATGTAATTTTGAGAAGAGTTGGCCTACCAGCAGGTAGTATTTAAAACAAGACTGAGGCATTTTTTGTGTGTTTCTGATTTCCAGCTACATCTTTCGGGAGATTTTTCCGAACCTTTTGTTTTCCAAGCTTGTTTTATGGGAAGACCACTTCTTCTCGACGTCTTACGAAACTGCAAAAGACAACTTTGGGAGTATCTATGAGATTCCTTTTATAGCATTTCATAGATCAGAACTGTGTATGTCACAGGGAAGTAAAAAAACTTAATTAGGCCCCTAAGACATAATCAAAAGAGCTTAAAAAAAAAGATTGACACGCTTCACCATACCTACATAACATCATTGTGGCTGACAACTGGCGCTTCACGAGGAGGTAGTCCTCAAAGACCAATCCTCAACAAGATGTTGCTCGATAGTTTAACAGCAAAATTTTTCAATTTTGAGAAGATTAAAAACGCTTGCGAGTTTCACCTCTTTGCATACCTTTAAATAGAATATATCAGCTTGACTCTTTTGTGGTTTCACGGTAGCATTCCAGCTCGTACTCTCTTGTGTTTTTTTAACATTTTTAAAAAAAATGTGTCCACGCCCTAACAATATTTCACAATAGAAATTGATCGGTTGTTTTAGGTGTATTTTTAGCATGCGATGGATGCTTTAGTCTAAATGTCAACAAGAAGTGAAACAACCCGATATGTTCACCACTCCCACTAAGAATCCTTGAACAAAAAAGAAGAACACTTCTGAATATACGATGCTGCTTAATGTTTTAACGGCAAAATTCGATTTAGAAAAGACAAATCACGCACACGCCTTTCAAATCCTAGATTGATTGTTTTGTGGTTTTACGATAGCATTTCAGCGCGTCCCAGCGTCACACCTTATCTAGTGACATTTCGCAAGAGCCATTTAGCAATGGGGTTAATTTCAAAAGAATTACTTCTCAGACATTTTCTCATTACCCAGGGTGAAACTAGAATGACAAATTATTTTGAGACATGCTTTGTTGCTTCATGTGTATTTTTAGCATGCAATGGATACTTCAGTCTGAATGCAGGCAAGAAATGGACAACCCGTACGTTCACCGCCCCCACTTAGAATCATAGAATAAAAAAATGTCTGACAACTGGCGATTAAAAAAATATTCCTCAAACAGTAATTCTAAATTACGCAGATAAGTGATAAAAGTGACCCTGCCTAAATCAAAATGTATCCCCCTTAGGATACAAGCTTGAAATTCTGTCTAAATACAGTGTAGTACATGTAGTATGTATTCCAAGCGGCTTACATTCATTAAATTTGATCAATGTTCAGATTTTGCACGTGATCAAAACGTGGCTATGCTCTTTTCTCTAAAACTCGAGGCGATTCTAGACTCTGAACATTCTAAACAGCTCAAAGCTAAAAATCAGCGCCTTTATACTTTATCGAGTACAAATGTCGCGATTAAGTTTTTTAACCACTAAAAATGATCTTAAAGTTGGTTCCCCAAAGCATTTACGTATCACACATACATTTTCGGTACATTGAGACTCGCGGGAAAAAACAAACCTAACTGATTCCCGTCGAGAGCACACAACAAATAGCATTCAACGACAAACAAGCTTTCTTTGGCCCCAGGGGATCTTACGAAAACTTTTTAGCGTTTTAAAGAAGTGTACCAACAAATTTGACTGCCTACTTTATGAAATGTTTTTAATTCAAGAAGTGGGACTTGCTCTAATTGTACAGTCGGACTCAATTCGTGCAAAGGTTTCTAGTTAGGTTTTTGATTTTAAGAATTATTTTTACTTTGGTTTTTAATTAGCTTCTAATTATCTCTTCTCTTTGTATGTTCGTATTGTCCGTTTACACTTCCAAAAAATTTTTATACTTCTTAGACGCATATATGTGTATTTCACCTGACAATCTTACTATTCACTAGAAAATGACCGAAGTTTGGTCGAAACGTCGTGTTTTACCGTTCGTTTTTATTGTCAAAAATACAAATGAACTCGATTTTACCTTGAAAAAAGCAAAACAGTGAAGTCGACAGCACGCTAGATATTCCTTAACGCAAATTAGTACCACAGTGAATGTGTTTTTCATACACTCATCATCTATCGGTTGAATATGTAATTCAGCAATTACTTTACGAATTGAATTTGTAACTTTTTAATTTTAAAAATATGTTTGGTTCTGATTGTGCTGCTCTTCTATCTTGACTTCTGAGTTCTCATTTACATATTGTAGTGTAATTGATAGGTGTGGAAAATTGGGAAAGTAAGACAAACAGTAAAACAGACAACCAGAGAAGCACTTTGCTGTCCGTAGCTTTACCTCCTCCTCGGTTTGGTCTTTTAAGACTTTCATTAAGTCACGATTGTTATTAGGGAGCGCTCGTCAAAAATGTCATTGATTAAGCAGAAGAAATAAGAAGTTCAGTAGAATCGTTGTGCGTCGAGCTTTTGTCAATAATCTTTTTAAAGAGTAAACGCTAGTGAGGGAGTTCTGAAGTACATGTTGCTGATGAAGGTAGAATTGAAGAACTGTGCGGCGAGTTTTGATAATTTCTTAGCATACGTCCATTGATTTTCGACCACCACTTATAAATTGTTTTGTTCACTTCGGTATTAAGATGTAACCGTTGTGATGAAAGGAGAATTTTGACAATTGCCCCAGAGCATTGCAAAATTACCTGCCGTTTACATGAGAGCTTTCTTGATACAAAAACAATTTTATTATCTCACTAACCAGAGGTAGGAAGTAAGAGAACTAGATCATAGGGTCTCTAGGCTAACTTTTCCTCGTTATTGTTTAGTAATGTCTTCAATAAAGGGAGAATATTTCAATTTAATAAGGGGCACTCAAACAGTAATATGGCCGATGTCTATTTGTTTGTCAACGAAATTACCTTTTAGTGCTAATTTATACTAAAACTGAAATTCTTTGAGATTAAAAACTTGTCGTAGCCCACCCAAACGCTTTAGTAGTTTCATCAGCTGCAGTCGCCATTCGGAGAAATTGATAAGTGAATTGAATAACTTTCCTTTTACAGTTACAGGAAATGGTTTAATGGCGTGATAACTTGATCCTGTTACTATTTTGTTTTTTGTTCTAGTCGGATACGAAACGGAGAGAAAAAAAGCTACAAAGCGCAATTTGATACACAGTTAATTTCAAATATTTTGAAACAAGTTTGTATGTGTGGCCGTACATTAATTTTGAATAGTTATGTAATCTACGTAATACATTAGGTGATTGTCACGAATTCAGTTTTTCTCATAGAATAATTGACATCGCCAGCTTGAGCTTTTGCACTTTTAGCTTTCCGTAGCTGATAATGATTCAAGTCTTAACTTCACACGAAAGATATGGACCCTTGACTAGCATCCTATTATAATGGGATTTGATTCTGGTAAAAAGCGGCTCTTTGCCGCACTAATTATATAAACACCGAAATAACAGATGTTTCTATATGTGCCTTTAATTGATTTTTCATAAAAGAGGCACCCGAAGATTCCCGGGAAAAATTAAACTTTTTTGACCAAGTAGAAAATTTCCTAATGCATTTTGAATGAGTAAGTCTTTATGCGACTGTTAGTTAGGAAGTTAGGCTTCAGTAATCCTTGCTGCCATTTTCCGTTGCAAGAACAGAAACCTACAAGAAAAGGGACACGCCGAAGACAGAATTATGTCGACAACAAATTTCAGTAGCGGTAGAAGTCGCACGGAATCATTTAAAGAACTGCTATGCTCTCCCTCTTTGGTGGGTGGGCTTCAACAACAACTATCAATTTGCTTCGTAGCGGTTGACATTCTCTTCTCCATTACAGCATTTGCTGGAAATTCTCTTATCCTTGTTGCCCTTCACAAGAAATCTTGCCTACATCCGCAGTCAAAACTCCTGTATCGTTGTCTGGCAACCACTGATCTGTTGGTTGGTCTTGTTGCTCAGCCTCTCGATGCTCTATGTTGGATATCCGTGGTTCAGGAACACTGGAGCCTTTGTCGATACGCAAGGGACGCAGCCAGCACCACAGGCCGTGTATTGAGTTTAGTGTCTTTGATGACGATGACCGCCATAAGCGTGGACAGACTTCTCGCCCTGATGTTGGGACTGAGATACAAACAAATTGTCACTTTGAAGCGCACGTATATTATTGTAACTACCTTTTGGGTTTTTACCCTTGTCGCCTCTTTAAGTGGATTTTTTTATCACCGTATAATCTTTATGTACAGCTCCCTAGTTATATCATTTTGCCTGGTAATATCATTCGCATCATACACAAAGATTTTTTGCACTCTCAGGTATTACCAAGCACAAGTACGAGATCAACAGCAGCTGAGCCAAACAAATGCACTGAACTTGGCGCGATTCAGAAGGGCAGTAAACAGTGCACTGTGGGTGCAGTTAGCATTAGTTGTTTGTTATGCACCAATATGTATAGTGAGTATTGTGATCGCTCATACCAAAAAATATTCATTTCTCCTAGTCGTCATATGTAAAGTAGCAGTTATTATACTTTGCTTCAACTCGACGTTAAACCCGTTCCTATACTGCTGGAAGATTAGGAAAGTGAGACAAGCTGTGAAGCAGACAATTAAAGAAGCACTTTGCTGAGTTAGGAGTCCTCGAGTTGTTCCTCAGACTTTGAAAGCAGACTTATTGAGTCACAATTATTATTGGAGAGCAGTCGTTAAATACCTTATTGGATAAAAGTAAATAAGTGGCTCAATAGAATAGTTGCACAGGCTGTTCTCGATAGTCTTTATATCTCTGAGAACAATTTAGAGACAGACTAGGTAAGCCTAGCTATGTGTTTTCAAAAATATGGTTTCTTGCCGCTATGCTAAAATACAAGTGTCATAATTGAAGAAAAGATATGCAAACATTTTACTTTCATGTTTTCTCCTCTTAGCAATATGAAGGCATCAGATAAAACTTCGAAGAGTAGTTTAGGAGATGTGTTTGAGATGTGTTGTGTGTTTCGAGAAAACTATTTCGACTCATTTTTCCTGTAATTAAAAGAAAGCGCTTGACGTTGATGTTGACGCCATATTGCCAAAAGAGACAGTCCATTTAATACCATACCATCTAATTATCGGCCTAAAAACGACATGGTTATTTCACCCATTAAAGAAGTGATAAAATAGATCTTTTAAGACTTAGGAGTCTCATATCGTATTGTAAAACAAAAAATATAGCCCATGTCTTTGTGTTTGTCAAGGAAATTCCCTTTCAATGCTAATTTGAAATTAAACTGAAACGTTATCTAGTTAAATCAACAGCTGGTTGCGACAAACATCTTTTTGTTTGATTAGTTTTAAAGCTACCGTCGCTGTACTGAAAAGAAAATTCCCTGGGAAAAAACTCTTTCTAAAGGAAGGATTGACGCATCTCTTAGCAATGAATTAAGTCATTCATCTAGTTTTTCTGTCAGCTAATCCTCCGTCGGTAAATGAAATGACTGATTTGAAGCCGATCTAAAATGTTGAATCTATAAAGAGTAATTATTCTGCAAAAACAAAATTTGCTTTGACCCCAAACTTAAACGAGGCGGCGTGTCTGTGATGGTTAACTAGTTTCTCCTAATCTTTAACAGAGTATTTTTAACGATTGTTTCGTGCGTCTGTGTGCGGTTATTAATATACGATGCACGCAGGAAGTTTGGGGAGCTTGAAAGATACGCTGGAGTTGCTTAATTAACACGCAACCAAGAATGATTTTAGGTTCATAAATAATAAATGCTGTTAATGTCAGTTTAACAAGGTACAGTTTTTGACTCGACTTCATCTCGGGAATTATTCAACAATATTTACTTCATCTTTGGCAAATAATTCTTGAATTTTTTTATATTGTCGATAGTTTTTAAGTATACATTCCTTCAATTTCCCTCTCGATCAACAGATTATCATGTTCACTTTAGCATAGCCATGTAACTCGGGTTATCGGAGAAGAAAGGCGAATCGCACAGGGGAATTACAACATGAAGAAATTCAGACACCTGCCGTATACATAAAAGCTTGCTTGGTATCCGACTGATTTTTCTCCTCATTTCGCGGACAAGAAGCAGGCAGAGAAAAATTTCATAACTAAGGTATAATAGGCTAACTTTGGCGTATAATTTTTCCAGGACAATCACTACAAAATTGATGGAGAAAGGAGGAGAACAAAATGAAAATTTAAAAGAAACAGCAAAAAAATTGTTTAAACACGTAATTTCTTGCTTTTCTTTTGTTTTGTTTCTTGTTTTGTCGGAAACGTAACAGAGATAAAAGAGCCACAAAATGTTACCAATCACACAGTTAAATTTAAATATCTTAAAATAAGTTTGCATCTGTGGCCTTACATCCTCAAACTTATTCAATTCGCATTGAAGCCTTAATATTGAGTGCCTTCTCGCAAACTAAATAAAGCGGGATTGTTTGTTGCAACATGAAATAATAATTTTAAAGATGTCTTTGAAAAGTTGCTTCCTATTCCTATTTCATACGTGATGTACACGACAAGTTAAGCACAAAAAAAGGCTTTTTTGACACAGCGAACAATTTTTTGACGTATTACAAACGTGTAAACAATAGTGAGGAGGTTTTTATTCGAGATGTTACGTAGGAAATAGGGTTTCAGGGATCGTTCTTGTGCAATTGGCGTTAACTAAAAAAATATATTTTTCTGGATGCTATCACAGATTAACTCATGACAAGAATATTGTCAACTTTTGAAATATTTGATATATCCAGTTTAATGCTGGTCTGTGTTTTCTTCAAGTTTTATTGATCCTATGTCTACCAACCCGAGTGATTAACTGTTCCTAACTTTCGCTTCTTTTTCCTTGAACTCGTTCCATGACGCTTTTTAGGAATTCAGAATTCACCACAATACAGGGATAATCTTTGCACTTAATAACCGGCCCAAAAGAATGACAGTATATTTAAATATACCGCTTTAACCGCTTATGCTGTCATTCAAAAACTGACAAAAGAGAGTTTCCTTATCATATCGTCAAACAGAAATATTACTGACCCATGTATGTGTGCTTGCAAAGGAATTAACTTTAAAAGAAAAAAAATTGTAGATCGAAAATGACAAATGTAAAGTTGGAATAAAAATTGGCATCAAACGAAAAGAAATGATTGTTTTGGTACCCGATGGAACCCTGGGATTAAAACGATACCGAGCGCGTAGTGCCATCATGGCTGGTGCAAAACAATGGTTTCTCCGCCTCCTTTATTTTTAGTTAACGCCTATTTTTTTTATCTTAATGACCAAAGGGATGAAGAAAGGAAATTACATCTTAGGGAGAAATAGTCAAAACAGGCCAAATAGTTTTTGTTAAAAAAAAATACCATTATAACTTTCCTGACGAAAGGAAAAAAGGCTGGTAGAGAACGAATTTAAAAAAATGGTTTGGCGCGCGGCAGAACATCTTGTTACGGTTTTGTTTTTAATATAAGTCCGGAGACGCAAAACAAAACAGATAGAAAAAAGCACGTCTTTACAAATCGACCCAAACATTTAGAAATACGTTTGCATCTGTGACCAAAATTTAAATTTGAATTGTTTGATGTATTCGCAGATTGTCTCCAATCCAACTTTTCTAAGACCAAGTAAAATCGCCAGCTTGAAATTTTTATTTCCAATTCTTCATGGCTACTAATGATACAAGTCTGAACTTCACACGAATGATTTGGACACCAGGTTAGTACTATATCAGTGAAAGTTGATCCAGGTAAAAGGAGATTGTTCGTCGTTCTTTTAAAAGAATAATACTACAGATGTCTCTCCATTTTCTACTTATTGCCATTTTATACCTGAGGCACTTCAAAGGTTCAATAATTGGACACAACAGACAATTTTCTGACGTATTTTAAATGAGTTAACGTTGATGAGGTATTAGTCCATGTGTATGAATATTATTAACTGATGTATGAGGTGTCATTGATCTTGGCTGGTTGTCGGCTGTTTAGACGACATATAACTCATTGCAATTTTAGATAGCCTACAACAAATTTCATAAGAATTGGAACACAGACGAAAACAATTGAAGAACTCCTAAGCTCTCCCTCTTAAGCGGGGGGCATCAATCAGCATCAGTTTCATGCCTGAGGCATCCCACGGCTACAAATTTCTGACGCATTTTAAATGATTGAAAGCTAGTGAGGAAGTCTTAATTTTTTCTTTAAAGGAAGGTTTCAGTTAGACGAAATATTCCTCGTTGCAAGAACAGAGGAAACGAATGCAGAATTATGTCGACAACAAATTTCACCAGAGGTGAAACACTGCCGAAAACATCTGAAGAACTGCTATGCTCCCCCTCTTTGGTGGGTGGGCTTCAACCAGCATCTTTCGCATCAGTCAACATTCTCCTCTCCATCACAACATTTCTTGGCAATTCTCTTATCCTTGTTGCCCTTCACAAGGAATCTGCCCTCCATGCGCCGTCCAAACTCTTGTATCGTTGTCTCGCAACAACTGATCTGTTGGTTGGTCTTATTGCTCAGCCTCTCTATGTTACCTGTTGGATGTCCGTGGTTCACGAACACTGGACTCTTTGTTATTACGCAGATAGAGCAGGATTCATCACAGGCTCAGCATTATGTGGAGTTTCTTTGTTGACGATGACGGCAATAAGCGTGGACAGACTTCTCGCCCTGTTGGCAGGGCTGAGATACAAAGAGATTGTAACTTTGAAGAGTGTTTGTATCATTATAGCTAACTTTTGGGTTTTATGTCTTGTCGCCTCTTTATGCACCATTTTCGAAATGCGTATAATCGTTTTGTATGCCCAGATATTGATACCACTTTCACTGCTTATTTCAATCGCCTCGTACACAAAGATATTTCGCACTCTTAGAAATCATCAGGCACAAGATCATGTTCAACAACAGCCGAACCATCCAAGTGCACTGAACATGGCGCGATACAGAAAAGCAGTGTACAGTGCTCTGTGGGTACAGTCAGTATTAGTTGTTTGTTACACACCATACCTTATTATAACAATTGTATTCACTTATAGTACAACATATTCATCATACTTAGGCGTCGCATACGCAATGGCAATTTTCTTAGTTTACTTTAACTCGACGTTAAACCCTTTTCTCTATTGCTGGAAGATTACTGAAGTGAGACGAGCAATGAAGCAGATAATCCGACAAGCACTTTGCTGTCCATGGAGTTAGACCATCCTCGAGTTATACACCATCGCATAAGTACTTTTAGCGCAAAGCTGACCGATAGAGAACGCTCGTCGCTTAAATTTTTGCTCTAGGTCTGTCGATGGTATTATTTGCTAGTCACGTAAAACAAAATAAAGGAAAGGTAATGGAAACACAAACCAAAACTTTTAAAAAGTATTTTACATGCCACCAAACTTTACTTTGCATGCATCAATTATTAATTAAAGGAAAGATGTACTTGCACAAGAGAATATATAATCTCTTATAATCTCTTGACGTAACTTATACTCTTATGAATGTTCGTATAAGAAAGCGAAAGAAATAATGGCTTTATCCACTTGTTTGGTAGATGAGTTGCATCAACCAACAATTTTTTTTCTCTGCGGTGTACATTCAGCACCTCGCTTCTCCTTGCTATAAACAGTTGTAAACTTAATTTTGTTTTGTCATCAGAAAAATGTCCATATTGCTTATGAATGTTTTAAAATGTAATTGATAATGATGTAATAAAACAAACATTGTGCAAGTGGGTGCATGGATTTAAATCAAAACTTTCCTTTTCTTATTGAATTATTTTCAAAACCTTTAATTTTCCGAGATTAAACGTTATACTCCATCTTCTCCGCTCAGCTAAAGGTGAATTTCTACGTACTGAGGAGACGGCGTTTAAAATAATTGTGAAATGCTAATGGTATCAAAGATGTCTGTCTGTACGTTTGACTCTTAAAGCTAATTTGTTCCTATTTTGGTGATTTTTCTTAATGAACTTTCATTGGTAGGGAGCTAATCAAGTGTCCATATCATCTGCGTGAAATTTAATACTTCAATCATTATCAGTCTTGACAAACTGAAATTACGAAGATCAAGCTGGCAACTTTGAATGATGTAAGAAAAAATTGGACTCGTAACATCTCCGAATGCATGAGATGAGAGCATGTGTAACCTGGTATTAACGTCCGAAGCCTACCACGCCGTTAAATCATGTAAAAGACTATCGTCATTTGCTCGATTGTTTAATGTGTGGGTATTTAAATTTAGCGCTGCGTGAATGAGATTTTGTTCCTGATGTGCACAAAAAGGTTCATATTCTCCTTCCTCTAGCGCGTGATTTAAACCTGGTAACAACGTCCGAAGCCTCGCGCGTCGTTAATTCATGTAGTTTTACGGGTATCTTTCTCTTTCCGTATTTCGATTCAACGAAAGGAGTTAAAAAAAACAATGGCGAGAGGAAATAGTCGCACACGCTCGTCAATTTCTCCCATTCGACTCGATTGTTCAATCCGAGTATATTTAAATTTCGCACTTCGTAAGCAAGAAAGACTGAATAATCTCCTCCCACAATTTTGTTGTGTTAACACAAACCGACATCTAATTGATACCTATTCATCCTTTTGTGTGATAGCAGGAGGTGAGATTTTTTCGCATAGTCATGTTCTGCTAGTTTCTTTCTTTTTTTTTTTTTGCTCAACAGGTTACGTGTATTCAATCACATCACTGACACTGTCAGATTCATCTACCAAATTTTAGGCCAATCGAATTTATCCTATTTTCTTAGTTTGCATAAAGCGCTGCGCAATCGCCTCCCATAATTTGCTTACCGTAGCGTAAATGCATAAGCCCAGCAAAAACTTAACACGCGAAAAAAATCACACCCCTTGATTCGTTAAATGCCGCCTCGCTTGATTGAGAACAAACATAAAGTCCAAACGTCCGCTTTCTACAAAGGGAATATTTGGGAAAACTGCTGATAGCTTTATAATTTTAATAAAGACTGTTAGAATCCGTCGTAAAACTATGTAAGCTCAAGCAAGACCTGCTTTTTTTTTCTCCGAAAGAGAATATAGAACAAACCAAAAACAAAAAATTTGCAACTTCTCCATTGTGAGACTTGCGAGTAAAATATCACTCTCGTCTTGCCGCGCATTTGGCTGAAAACGAGAATAACTCAAAATAGATGTTCTTTCAAAAACTAGAGATAATTTCCTCGATCAGTACATCTTGTGTCATCAACATCGGTGCAAGAATTCTGTGCTTTTGTAAAACAGGAATCCTCTTCTTAGGTAGACTTGTTGGTTCCAGAAAGTAAGCGCTTCGTTAGAAAACAGCTGTGCGCCAGCGCCTGCTCTCTGCGAAAATTTGGAGAAGCTGTTGACAGCTCCTTACTTTTAACAAAGATTGTTAAAATCCGCTGTAAAACTCTGATAGTTTTTAATGAGAGAGACTTACTTTTAAGCAGGACCTGCTTTTTTTTTTTGCAAAAGATAAATAAAAAAAAACTCGCACCTTCTTCATTGTGAGACTTGTGAGAGAAAAAATATCACACCCTCATCTTGCCACGCGTTTGATTGAAAACGAAAATAATTCTAATAATTCTCACAAAAACTAGAAATCATTGCTTTGATCAGTATATCTTGTATCATCAACATAGTTACACGAATTCGATTGTATTTAACACCAGTATTAAGACCAAAAAATATATTTGTACGTTGAAAAAACTGACTGGTAAAAACCAGGCGAATTGACTTACATATGGAGAGAGGTGGTTAAAATGAGTCACTGCAATAGGGATAAATTTAATTATTTTTGAATTTGCGAACCTTTGGCTCGATGCGCTAAACGAGGGTCAAGTCTACCCCTGGGTACAACGATGGAGATTGATTTTACTAGTGCATATTTACACTACCCACTCCCCCAGTGCAGCAAAATTATCACTCCGATAATTTTCTCGATCAGTTACGAGCTTTTCCGCCTCCCTTCGGCCAAAGTCCCTCAGGACTACCAATTACTCAGGACTTTTGTTTGGAAAGTTGACCCGGAACAATGGGCCATTTCTTTATACGAGGAGAAAGATGTATTCTGAAAACAAAGAACGAAATAAATTAAAGAGGATTGAATGAGGAAAAAAATAATAAAAGAAAACATCTCTAATCGCAAATCAAGTGCAGGTGTCGAGGAAATATCACCTGGTTACACATAGAGATAAAAAAATATATGTGTAAAGAAACCCGCAATTGTTGAATTTCAAACTCTCTTTGTAATTTGCTACACTTCGTCACAATGAACTGTTTATAAGCCTCAAAGCAACACAAAATTTTGTATTATTGTAAGGAATGAATTTTTGTTAGGAGTTGAAAGGCGCGGGTGTATTTGAGAACTGAAAAGGTATTTTTAAACACATATCACAACTTATCAAATTCTGATTCCTCATTAAAGCTGTTAATAAAAGCAAAGGCTGCCAGCACTGAAAAGAATGGCAAAAGTTCGACGGTAGACTATGTCACCTTTTGCCAAAGTTCATCGATGACGTAAAGCTACTGTCACGTAACAGTAGCCGTAACGCATAATAAAGTATTGATGAGCGTTATTTTATTTCCAATGTTCATGAAAATTTCAACGGTCTAGGAAAAGAACACGACTGATCGCTTCAAGAGGAAAACAGGTAAAGGGATTTAAGGAGCGGTAGTATATTTACAGAAATCCATTGAATTTTATTACTGCTAGTCGGAGAAAACTTTGCCTGTGTGAACATTAATTGATCGCGGCGGTATTGTCCAGCGTTGGACTTCGAGATAAGGAATAAATATTTTCGATTCAATTGCTGATAGAAACGTAACTTACAAGTGGATTGGCGTCTGGGTAACTGAGTCAACATTTACACTAGGGATTTTCGAGTTTCAAACTCACGCGACATCAAATAGTAAATTCGTTCTGATTCGAGCTCAAGGAATATTTGAAGAAAGGATGTGATCTTTTGTTATCATTTGTCCAATATTATTCAAAACTAGATCAGTCTGAAAAAATATAACGAGCTTTGGGAGGACGTAAACTGTTTTGCCTCCTCTGGCTTGATAATCTAAGTTACTATACCGAACTATTTTGAATTGTTTTGAAGAGGGTTGCTTCGTCACGCGATCTCAAGAACTGTTAGAATAAATCTGTGCTGAATTAGGAACATGATTTTACAACATGCATAACGATTTCGATGTGTTTTCATTCATATCTCTTGGGACCCGCCTCCGTATCATTTTCTCGGTCCTAGTTCTTTGTTTACGACTTGAGTCGTCAAGCTATGCAAATATTGGAGAAATCAAAATATTTTACATATTAGTCAGACGGTCACGTCCATGTAGTTCAAGTCTTTAGCGCAGATACAATTGAATGAATTCAATTATCAGGTATCAGTTCAATCAGCATACTGCGCTAAATTATTAACGTTCTTGAAACAAGGCGTATTCAAACTCAAGGACTAGTTAGGTGACGAAGAGAGGTGTTTTCTTAATTCTTTAGATTTTAAGTCTTAATTTAATTTAATTCTTAATTTTAATTCTTTTTTCTTATTCTTTAGATTTGGACAGCCAAAGGAAAAAACGGAAAGAAAAAGGGAGAAGAAGATTTTTCAAAGAGCGCGATGTCTGCAAGTGGTGAAAAGTTTGTGAGTTCTTTTTTATTTCATTCATGTACTAAAGCTTAAATGTGATCCCGGAAGAATTAACCCTACTCCAGACGTGTTACTTGCATAAACCCAGGTTCTGTCAAGTAAACAGTCGATCGTGTGGTGCAATCATCCAGATGGGAGCAGTCCTAGAAAGGACATGCACTTTTGTGACAGTACGTGACGTTTCAACAAGAGGATATCCTGATCGGTCAGTTTTGCCGAGATACTTTTAGCTGTAAGACTCATGTGACCCTCATCAAGTGGGTCTATAGGCAAGTTAGACAGAAAGGAAGTTTGGTACATCAAAGCGTAAAAGAAAAACCTTATTGTTTAATATTATCTTTGATCGGTTTTGCAGTCTCCTCATAGCCACATCCCGTACGGCACAGATGGGTCTGGGTTCTACTCAGATAACACCATTGGATGTTATAACGTAATCTTAGAGTCCGCGCCTCTAGTATTGGAGAGTGTCAGATCAGTTTTAGAGAGGCCTAGGTCGGCTTTCACAATTGCAGACTACGGATGTGCAGACGGGGGTACCTCTATGCCATTGCTTTACGCATGCGTGAAAGAATTACGAAAAATTCATGGTGACGATTTGCCCATTCAAGTGATTTACGAGGATCAGCCCGTCAATGATTTCAAATCCTTGTTCCTTCGTCTGCAAGGTTAGTCTTTGAAAATTTGAAGCTTTTCTTCTATCCGCGGATGGGTTTAGTCAGTGCTTGAGTCTTCTGTGGCAGTTGACTCGCCCCTCATACTCTCCTTCGCTCCAGCGATAGGAAGGCCTGCTCTGCAGGCTTTAGAATGAAGAACCAGTACATCGCGGTCCATAATTCTCTTATCTCTTCTTTGCAGGTCTAATACCAGGCCCAAAAAGCTACGTCTCAGATTTCTCCAATGTATTCGTCACAGCGTGCGGCACAAGCTTCTACAGTCAATGTCTTCCTCCTGAGTCTCTAAATTTGATATTTTCATCCACTGCCATGCACTGGCTCCGTGAAAAACCTTGCAACGTGACAGGGGCGTTACATCACACTATGATCACCCTTCCGGAGGAGGCTGAGAAATTTAGGAATCAAGCCGCAAAGGACTGGGAAACTTTGCTACTGGCGAGAGCGAAAGAACTAGCACCAAGTATGATTATGGTGTCATACTGATAGGGAATCACGCAACATCATTTTTGATTCCTGTTAAAGGCGTTCTGTGACCCTAACTGAATGGCAACTTTCATAAGTGTCAAGGATACTATTCAGTTAAGCGCCACACTAAGCCGTAAACGGTTGGTGCATGGTACTGTTTTAAATTAAGAGGAATACAATCTCGATGTCTTCACTTTTTTTCCGGCCATTTACCCCTCATTATCAGCTAGTCAAACTTTCCATTCGGGCTGTTAAACTCCTACGGTATCTCAGCAATTCTGAATGATAGGGACTCTCTATAGGGACTTTCTTTCGTTTAATTCAAATTTTGCCCACTTGTAACCAAAACTCATAGCTTCAAGTGGTAGCACTTATCGTACAGTTATCTGCAATTTTCCATTGATCCTCTCCTCATCCAAGCTATCCTTAGTGGTTAACTTCAGTCTTTGAATTATTTTTCAGGTGGCAGAATGGTTCTTGTTCAGTTTGCAGTTGACGGTGAAGGACAATACCTTGGGACAACGAAGAACACACCAGCCTCCATGCATCACACAATGAAAGATTTGTGGAAACTATTAGTTCACGATGGAGTCATAACACAGGTCAGAACCAAAAGTGCCTCTTTCCCTCCTCTCTCTTCCCCCCTCCCCCCTCCCCCCCCCCCACCCACACACCCTCAACACCTCAACATGACAAGTGTGGTATTACAGGGACCCCTGGTCCTCTCGAGCGGCACAATATCTGCTGGCCGCAGAAAGTGGGCCCTTTTGTGTAACTATCTCGCTTTGCACTATTGACTATTTTCAGGTTCTCGGATTTCAGGGGTGCGATAGTGCTTCTATTTTTAAATGGTACAAAAACAAATTTGGTAGTATTCTTAGTTGTCATGAGAAACTGTCTGATTTTATCTCTAAGAAAGCACTTTTAACTGCCGTCTTTGTGATGCCGTTTTGGCTTTCCCTTCCGACGTGATTTTGTTTCCAAATTCTAAAGGACTTCTCGGTAATTATTTCAGCCACTGTCAGGTCAATTATTCCATCCACCGAAACAAATGGACTTTACTATGTTTGACGGAAAAATATCATTGATTTCTTGATAAATGTTACGTACTGGTGACCGAAATGCAAACGGTATTTTCGGTCTTGTAGTGAATTTTAAACACTAAGTAATTTATATTTAATCACTTTGCAATTAGGAAGAATTCAACAAGACGACATTTGTCAACTATTACCGCACAGTAAATGAGTTTAAAAAACCATTTGAATCCGCGGACTCGCCCGTTCGAAAAGCTGGTTTGTCTCTCGTCTCCATAGAAACCAAAGTGGTACCCTGCCCTTACCGAGAAAAATGGCTCAAGAACGGTGGTGATCCTAAAGCGCACGCACGTTGGTTCATTCCCACGACAAGGACTTGGAGCAATGCGACATTTACGTCTGGTAAGACGTCATTTTTCATGTTGTGGTCTTTCACATATGTATCAAGAATGACTAGATTACCTAAATATCGGAAGAGGACTTTAATCGATGGGGGGAAGTTATTGTATAGTATGGTAACCAACCTTACTGGTTTTAAAACGTTCCCACAGGCCTCTCTGAATCTCGCTCTCCAGAAGAGAAGGACGCCATTGTCGATAAATTCTTCAAACTTTACGAAGATCTGGTTGCCAAGCATCCGGAAGATCATGGGATGGATTACGTTCATGCCTACATAGTTATCGCGAAGAATTGACCAACAAGTGTCATTTGATTTAGATTACAAATAACTAAGGCGCTCTCGCTCGATAAGTTCATATGTTCAACCGCATATTTTTGCCGTGAAGTTGTTTGTTTTCAACTTGTAGGGACTAAAAGGAAATAATTTATTTAAAACTGGTGTTCAGCTATTGTCAATGCCTATCGCACGAAATACAAATTAAGAAAAGTTCATCAAATAAATTGTTCTGTTTAGAACACTGCGTTGTGTACAAGCTATTACAGTCGATACGTTAAACGATTTGGGAAGATCCAACTGGTCATTTTATATTTGGTGGAAATAGCATGGATGTTGGTTTACATTGCTCTTTGGAGGTCAGCGACAGAATTCAATCCTTCATTTGACAGGCTTGCTATTTTCGATGGTGGATTATAAAAAGGTTGAACTGTATGAGGAGCTAGAAAGAAATTTAAAAAGTCTCCCAAAAAAATATTTTAAAAAAATTGTTGATGAACTCGCCATGCTCACCCTGTTTAGTACCGATCCCTTGTTGCCTTATTGTTAAAGTATCAAACAAATCTTATAACATAGCGCGCCTGCTTGCCCTATATAAGTCCTACTGAGCCGCTATGAACAAAATCTTTATTTACGCACGCCCGTGCGTAAATAAGATAACGTAAGCATATTTTAGTGACACTTGAGTTCATTTGGCTTTGATTTTCTCCATTCTCCCCGTAAATTTTGAGCTTTTCATTCACAGTTATCGGTTAACTGGATCAAATGTTCTCGCTCAAACCAAAGTATAAAATGTGGCGTGTTTTTGACCAGCCAATAGGGACATTTGCTTACTTTTTTTGTGCGTTGTGAGAATTTTGCACTCTATTGCAATAAAAGGCTTCTTCGCGCAGATCCTTGTTGTCGCTCTGTTATAAAAGAATTTGCTCATGCTTTTAGCTGTACGTATATCGAGTTATGGATACACTTGGGAAGTTTGGAGACCACTCAAATAGCTAGAGTTGCTCTCGGCTGCGCCTCGAGCTACTATTACGTATTTTTCGTGCTCTCCAAACTTCCCGCGGCATCCATAACTCGATATACGCACGCTAAACATGAACAAATTCTTAAATTTTCCATGTTCGGATTAAAGTAGAGAAACCTGTAGAATACGCTAATAACAAAAAACATTTAATAAAAGAAAGCTCTGCTTTACATTTCTTTTTTAAATGTGGATCAATCATTACTTATAACCTGAGGGTTCAAGGATTGTTTGTGTCAATAACAAAAACATTTAATAAAAGAAAGCTCTGCTTTACATTTCTTTTTTAAATGTGGATCAATCATTACTTATGACCTGAGAGTTCAAGGATTGTTTGTGTTAATAACAAAAACATTTAATAAAAGAAAGCTCTGCTTTACATTTCTTTTTTAAATGTGGATCAATCATTACTTATAAACTGGGGGTTGAAGGATTGTTTGTGTTTAGATAATCTGATTCCCCCATTAGGCTTTGTAACATTCTAAAGATCCCCCCTCCCCCCTCCCCCCTCCCCCTGCCAATCAAAATCAATCGTCTACAGTCCCCCCTCTACACTCTTTTGGCGGCGATTGATAACCCTCTGTTCCTCCTGGGAACCATTTGACCCCTCTCCCGCCCCTCCCCCCCCCCAATCCTTCCCCCAAGACAATAACTTACGCATGGTCCACAAAATTTAATCTATTTATCTGGATCTTCCTTTGGTAACTCATTATATCCCTCGTTAATCGCCCACGACTGTTTTTCGCCTGAGCCAAAAATGACAAAGAATGTGGCGCCAAGAACATTCATCGCTGCGATGATGAAAAAGACGATTCTCCATTCAAGGGACGTCTGTTAGAAAAATAGGAAATAGTCTGAGTGTGTTAACTTGAAGTTACAATTTCTTCAGGCTAAACTCGGGGGGCTTAGGTCGGGTCGCGTAATTAACCCTCCCCCACCCCACCCCCTCATTGGCAATTGATTAAGAAAATTTTATTTTGACATGAACAAATCTTTCGATCCCCTCCCCCGTACGACAATGAATGGCCACTGCCTTAGTTACCTCACACAAATTTAGATATAAATATACTAAAACAAAAAGAGCACTCAAAGCCCCCTCTGCGACTAATTAAATGTACGATTTTGAATACTAAACTTACGTGGTGTTGAACAATTAATCCAGTGACGATAGGGGCTAAGATTCCAGCCGATGATGCTGCTGTGTTTGTTATGCCAAGTAAGACACTAGCGAGAGGTGAGGCAATATCGAGATGATTCACATAGAATCCACTACGAGCCAGTCCGCCGAGACCCACTCCTATTGTAATCAGTACTGCAACAGTGGTGGCATTTGAAAAATAGCCTAGTACTAAGAACGATATAGCCTCACTAAGGAAACCTAAGGTGAAAAATACACTGGTATAACTACATTGATCTATATAGGTTCACAAAAGTAAAGAGGTTGTCTCGCAACCCGCAAATATTTGAAAATATAGGGAGGTAGAAAACAACTCATTTCTTTCTATCACTGTGAGGGGGGGGGGGGAAGGGGTCGAAACTTTTTGGGATAACATGGTCCACAGGAGGAAAGGCGGGCGATCAATTGTTGCTAACCGAGTATACAGGAGGTAACCATGGAAAATTAACAGCTAATGAGGGGAAGGAACCATTGAAATACTATAGGGCCTTAGGGGGGATCAGGAAAAATTTAATGTCACACAATCAAAATCCCTCGACTTCACTTCCCTCCCCCCCCCCCTCCTCCATTACTACCCATCATGATGATAAATAATGACTTGTTCCTCTTAAGTTTTAAAAGTAAAGAATTTCTCTTGCGAACCACAAATGCGCGAAAATACAAGGGGTTAAACTAACAGAAGGACGGAAGGAGATGTTAACATAAAGAGAAAATGCTATTGGTTTTAGAGTATTAAGTTAATGTCTAGAAGAGAACTTAGCGAAACGACAACGTTATTATATGGTGTGCCGGGAAGAAGACACTACAGTGATCCCTGGTAACGATCGGGGAGCTACTTGGAATATCAAGTGATCTAGCTAAGAGCATCAAAGAGATGACTCAGATAAGAGGTGACTTCGCTGAGTTGATGCAGGAACGTTTCACTACGCCCCTGTGATAGCCACGTCTGTCTTTAGAGGTATTTACAGATCAGACAATGCATATGACCTCTACCTTACGATCGCTTCAAATACCGCCAATGGTTGTAAGATGTCCTCGTTCACTCATAGTCCTCAATGAAAAATTAAGCTTAATTTCTTCTCTTAAATCCGTCTTTGCAATTTTCTAAATGTATCTGGAGAGTCATTTACCAATTGTATTGAAGATCTTTCTCACAGTTCCGGTTGCAAGATGATGCTTGCGAAGATAATCAGCTATTTGACCACCGAGGATTAGCATCACCAGTGTGACCACGTAAGGTATGGACGATGCAGTCCAAGTCTGATAGAGAAAAACAGAAAAGATCATTCGTATTGTGGACCCCGGGAAGAGGTGGGACAGAGGGGTGGTAGCCATAATCCCTTTTTTCGGACGATTTGTTTAGGAGGATTTTCGCTCAAAACCAGCCATTGACTGTAGCAAAGCATGCTGTTTTTTTTTAATGACAATTTAGACAAAACTTGGTCTACAGGTTTGAGACTGGGAGATAATCATAGAGAATTGAGGTATCGTTTCGCATTTCTTTGAGAAACTTTCTGGGGCATATAACATACTATGAAATAAAACAATGATCAATGATTGTCGACCAACATAACCAAAGTAATCACAACCACCAGTCAAAAAAAAAAAGGTCAACATCATCACGGTCCAATGAGAAATCAAAAACATGCAACCTGGTGGAAGCGCGGGAAACGCGACTGACCAAGATGAGATTGGTTTTTAGTACCTGCATTTGACTGGTTTAGAGAGAGGTGCGAATTTTCTAGACCAATCACAGAGCGAAAAAATCAGCAAAACTGAAGCAATCTAGGATCCTTTTTGACACTCAATTGAAAACCGCTCTTTGAGAATTTGTCAAATATAAGATAAATTCTTAGGCACATATGTTAAATCTAAGCATGTCCAAGATTCAAAGTTATAAAATGAGTAACTCAGCAGAAAATAGAATGTCAAGTTTTAATATCTATGCCCTGTAGCTGGCACTGCCCAGAGAATCCCGTTACTCGAGAGATTGAGGGCATTGATAATTGGCTCGGGCCTCACCTGTTTAAGATCAAGATGAAGTCGTTGTGTATAAAATAAAGGAAGCTCTGATATCAGCATGTAATAGCCAAACGAATGTGTAGAATGCGTTACAATAATGGCCCAGAATGGAAGAGAGGTGAAGATTGCTTTCCAAGGAATCGGTACATCCTAAAAACGTGATAAGCATGACCGTAAACGCCAAACAAAACGAAACAACAACATGATCTTGGTGAGAAGTAGTAATCATACGACTGAATTAACAAACAGGTACATGGATGCATGAATAACTGAATACACGAATAATTGAACCAAACAGAATGCACGCATGCACGTGAACCGCGAACTGGATGGATGGGTGGGTGGATAAGCAGGTAGATGAATGGATGGACAGATGCAGAAAAGGTGGGATGAACGGATGAATGAACAAGTGGACGAATGGTTAAAAGAGGGAATAGGATTAAACAAAAAAAATAAGAAAGTAATTAAAGAAACCAGAAATAAGTATAGGTAATCACATGATTTCGAGTGCAATTTGAAATAAGTAAACACGAGTAGATTTTTTCAAAGACTAACAAAATTTGTGCAATTTGTGATCTTTGAAAAATTTTATATGCACTTATTTATTCCAAATTGCACGAGAAAAATCATGTAATTACGTATTGATAATATAAATAATAAAAATACGAGATAGCTTATCATAATTATGCAGAAGCAAAGCGCCCGCATCAAGTGCAAATTTAAACCCTGCGAGCGACGTTATGCGTTCGGTCAAAACAACCGCGTACGATCAAAACAATAATATACAATAATACTTTCACATCTATAAGGCGCAAAAAAGTTCAAAGTCGGGTTAAGCAGTTCAAGAAATTGTTCAGTCTAGTTTGTTACTTCTTTGCACTGAATAAACCCTCTTCTGCATTGAATTACCTGAAAAAAAAATTGCATTTATCTTAGCCAATCAGAACTAAGTAATTTTTTCATGTATCTTTCTTACGAATTTTGAATCACAAGAAAGTGGATGAAATGAGTGAAAAGTCCTCTAAACATTGCTTTTGTTTCCTCACATTCTCTTCATTTTATGCCAAAATTCACAAACATTTTATTTTTTACCTGACTTTGTAAATCTCCTGCTAAGCTAAATGTAATATATTCTGCTTCTTCTCTTGAGATCCACCTTTGTTGTGAAGGTGAGTTACTAACCAAACAGAGGCAAAGAATCGACCAGATAAGACCACTACTACCTGTTGAAATAGATTTTATCATTTACATCACTTAGGCGTCTCTATGTCGTTAAGAACGTTCCTAGATTTTCGTTTCATTTATTTTTTTTAATCTTTTTTTTAATCTTTATCTTATTCTATTTGCTATTCCATACAGAGCAATTTTTACGAACGAGGTAATCGGTAAATCCGACCGCTGTCGAGAATAAGGTAAAGCATGTATCGTCCTCGACTGGCCATATGCCGTTTGCCACTTCTCGTTTATGACTTCGATTAGCATGAGCAAATTGAAGACTGCTTTGTAAATCTTAAATGGAATGTTCAATTCGGGACAATTTCTCCAACATCCCGTTTTACGATGAAAATCTATAAAAAGAAACGATTGAAACTGATTGAAACAACGTTATTTAATTGAATGACTTACCGAAGACATAGAAAATCCAAGACCAACCAAAATGAAAAGCAATGTATCCAGACAGAAACATGGACATTATTATACCTAAAATACCCCCTACGGAAATAGAACGAAATCATTTAAATATTCCTTAAGTCTTCAGCAAGACCTAACATAATAATTCCTACTAACCACCGTGTCAGAGGAATCCGCAGAGTAAAGGAGTTAAATTTGGAGCCGTGCTTTGCTGCAAACAAGAATCCAACTTTCTTTCAGTTACTAGCGGTGGAAGGGGATGTGTCATTCTTACAGCAACCCAGTAAGGGCAACCGTACCAGCAGTGAAATCGTATTATCATGGGCACCCTTGGATCATCGTTTGGTGTCTCCATATAAAAGCGAGTCAGTCTCTTGTAGCAAAGCAAAGCAAATTGTATAACCTAAGTCTACGTTTTGTACAGCTCTTAACCTATGATTGGCAAATTCGTCGCTCCATTGTCTGCTCCATAGACCCCTTTCTGCTAACAAACATCAGAACACGTCATTCGTTACGTTCATTAGAAAGTGTCCGTGGTTAAACGACTACACCGATCAAAATGTTCGTTTGAAACCACGCGAAGTGGTACTTATACTGTGATGTGGGAGATCATCACCATTCGCTCTCAGCGATTTTATCTGTGTTGAATAAAGGCGCATACGCAAGTGGCTCGAAACGATGTCTACCTCTTACGTTTTTTGATGCAACAGGTATTGGAGGGAAGCTCGTGAAAAATATTACCGTATAATAAGTGTGCGTGCGTTTGACCATTTCCTACAAAGGGACACCGACAACATTTAGATCGCAGGTTTCACTATTATAAACTGGATCCCTTTCAACTCACCCGCTACGTTTAAAGTTGCCAGTTTACTTCTTTCCAAGGGGGGCGCCCATTTACTCCAAAAAGCGTGACCGGCGGGATAAACAGGACCCTTCACAAATCATAAGAAATGATGAATGATGAGCAAAGTGACGAATTGTATTTGGGAAAAGTGTTATTCCTCATGGGGGACTAACGGGAAGCACAGATATGCGGTTTTTGAAATGCAGACGGAGTGATTAAGGAAAGTTGAACAGTTACTGGCACATTTGGCATCCACCAACCAACTGAACTCTTTCGGTTAAGCATTTTTTAACTTAACGCCACAGTCAGTAGAGCTGTATCAATTGTCAGGGAAACGAACTATTAACTTCCGGCTGACGTCCTAGTCTCACAGATTCAAGTATTTAAGCTTCTAATAGCCGGCAAACGTATTGTTTTACTTTACAGCTTAACGCACCAAATTCATCCAAGTGTCAATGTGTATAGCTATAGTACAAGCTAATGAAGGGGGGGGGGGGTGGAATTACCTCGGCAAATCCTACAGCAATTCTTAGTGCAATGAACACTCCCACATGGGTCTTTGCAGCAAGAGGTGTGAAAAGGGTAAGGAACCCTGTGGCGCCAACAGACAGACCAAGCAATGTAGCGCCGCCATGTTTTCTTGCCAAGTATCCTCCAGGTAAGTGCATAACAATGTAGCCGAAATAGAACGCACTGAGAATGAATCCTGTGAGAAAAGATCAAAGGACATAATATTCTTACTATGATATCGCTAATAACTCAATCAGCAACCCTCATCGGGCAGAATGTCTATTGTTCTTTCGCTGAAAATTAATCAACATATACATATCGCTTCATATCAAGTCTACGGCAGTTTGATAAACAGCGGGTTTTTTCTATTATTTCTCGCTTAGAATTCGATTGTTTATCGAAAAAATACTTTCATCGTAAATGAAGGACAAAATAAAGTATCTGAATCGCTCGAACGCAAGTTTTTCTTTTTTTTTTTTTTTCGAATCGAAAGGAACAAAATACGAACGAAGTAGAGCATAGGAACAAATTCGCTATTATAGGATTACAGTTTCCTTCAACCTTTTTATTCTAGAGCTATCCTTGGACTGGAACTGATCATCAGTGCCATTAACATCAAAGTAAAACCGGACAGCTACTCGCAACACGACATTCGCAAAAGGATTTTGTCAGAAGAGCTAAATTAAGGGACAACGTCGAAATACGCCTCCAGATCGTGGAATCAAACAAAGAATCAAACGTCAGTTGGTTGGATACATACCTTGAGTTTTAGTTCCCCATGAAAACTCTGCGGGTTCCTAGACTCAAAAAAGGCAATGAAAGCTTTGTAAGTTCCAGGTATATTTTCACCGGCTATGAATTTGCAGTTCGTATTAATGAGCTGTTGGTCTAGCTTAAACTCATCAAGTGGATGGAAAGAGAAGGGGTTATGGTGTTAGGCGGTACAAGAAGATAAAATTTTGAAAAGAGAGGAGCTAAAAAAAGACCTTTTCCATTTATTGGTTACGACAATCGCCCCAATAACGCAGTTAGAGTGATGAAAAGAAAGTTACAAATACTCTGCCTTCTTGCCTATGTAATTCATTATAAAAATAAACTGAACAAATTTGAGCAGATAGAGGCTTAAAATATCAGTTTTGTTTGTCAGTCCAATTTGATGGGGCCGTAATAAATGTCGGTCGACGGTATTGGTTAGCCTATGCTTCAGTTGGTGTCAACCGTGAAAACATCACTCGTTTCACATTCTAATCACTTTCTGGTTCATTTTTTCTCTTGGCACTAGATCTGCTGTCATGTCTATTGCATTCCGTGCAACACTCAAATCTTTAATTTTATTAGTAATTGTTTCTCGTCACAATTCGAAAGACTGAAATTACCTCTATTTCCATGCCACCTTTCATGAGTGTTTGATTACCAACCATAACAGCCAAAGCTACGCTTAGGTTAACTCGCATAGCGTAAACATTCGTAAAGCCAAGCATGATAAAAATCCCGATGACATAACGTAGTGGAAGACAACACCGGCACATTTGGGTTACATCTCTGTCGTTTTCTCCACTGCCAATACCATGCAGTTTTTGTTCGGTAGAATTCATTGTGAATATGCCTGTTCGGTGCAAACGTATCTTCCGCTCTGTCCCTTAATCCATTTCTGCGGAAGAGGGGTAAAAGAAATCTGCTGTTTTACTTTCTTTCTTCTGAAACCCATCAACCAATTCAATAAACCCTGATAGGAAGATAATTTCTTTGGTACTGTATATGCAAATGTTTTTACTCTGGCGGGTAAAAGCAAATGGCGAAGTACTCTTATAACTAACTATCGACTGTCTGAAATGTAAACTACATTGGATCAGTGGCAAACGGAATTTGACATGAGACTCAATCCACTTGCGACTTTAAAATGATACACAGTTAAGCTGGAGTAATTCTCCGTCATCGCAAAACACCTGGCTATCGACCTGGTCCAATTGTTTCGCATGAACGATAAGTACCAAGGAAATGAGGAATTAGCTTTGTAGCAAGCTTTCCGTATAAGGACTTCATTGATCGAACGTGTTCGTGGTCAGTTACCTGGAATTTAGTGGCGTCCAATGTTCTTATGTATTCCAAGTTTAATTGCGGCCACTGTTGGTAAGAGAATTGTAATTACCAAAACCCAGACAATATGCAAAAAAATTGTTAGGACTGATTTAATTGCACCATTTATTCAGCAGGAACTGAACCATAAAACAATTATCGGAAACACCCGATGGGAATATTCGATTCTCCCATTGTTTGAGCTGATTTTTGATTCGATTGTGGATAAAGACCCTTTTGGTTAAGGAGACACGTTAGTGACTAAAAGCAAAACCAACATCAAAAAAAAAAGACAAATATTTAACTATAAAAAAATTGCGATAAAATACTTCGTAAAACCATCACAATACATTTTAAAAGCTTAAATAAGGTAGTCGACGACGTTTCGACGTTAACGCAATGTCATCATCACCGATCAAGTCAAAAAATAATAAAATTATTCGGCTAGAAATTCTAAAATCAACAATGGGTACTGATTAAATTTTTAACGAAGGTAGACAACTTACAGCTAAACAAAAATTTTTGCACGAAAAGAGTCCGCTTACACGATCAACTTTGAGTTTGAGAGTTTTTTGATGAAAAGCATTCAAAATACTTTTTTGACTGTTCTATCTCTATAATATTGTATTTAATTTTACTTATTGATATCTGTATTTGTATTAGTATTATCATATGTATTGTATGAGGCACACAAGTTTATCTGCCTTCAGGCTATTAAGTGCTACCCTCTTTACATAAAGAGTTTACCTACGTACTTACTTACTAATACTAAACAAAACGTACTTTGTCATTTCCTAAGAATCTGAAAAAGGCTTTTATTAAAATCACTTATACCGTGCATAAATAAGTAAATAAATAAATAAAGCAAACAGATTTCATGTTTCCATGTGTCTGTCCAGTAATAGATCACAGATGTGCTAAGAACATCTTTAACACACTTGGCTGCATCTCATCTCGTCCAACATTTCTGTTTCTACCGCATTTTGACGTCATCCGGGACCTACTACTGAACAGGTGCATGGCAACATGGAATGTACTTGCTAATATAGACGGTGAGTGTGACGAAACGTACCTCTTAAAAAATCGAGTGGAAATTCCAGTTATCTGAGGGTGCTCAGTACAACTTGTTTTCCTTTTGTGTTTTTGTGGCTACTGCCTCCTTATAAGAGGCAAAGCCACATACGTTATTGAGATGATTGATGGTAAGTAACGATAGAAGCCGAACTTCACCCGAATTTGACCCGATGTCACTTACTGTTTTTTCAGTTCTTGCTGTAACACTGGAAAAAATGGTAAACATCTCAAAATAATTTCACGGTGGCGTCTCCGGCACGTAATGGTAAACAAGACTTTTCCTTGTGGAAATAGCTAAATAGATTTGATCTGCACATCGTGGAAACTTTCAAAAAACCTTTATTTATTCGAAGAGAGAGCATTTTACAATTTCAATCTGCGGCTAAAGCCTTAAACAGCTGTTAAATTTGCGGAGCGAACAAGGTCCGAAATACGTTAACGTGAGTTTAACAGGGTGACCCTACTCGACGGAATGATAAGAACAGTGGGATAGCGGAGTGGCAGAATGGAGGAATATTCTACAACATGGAATGCCTCGTTATATGAAACAAAAGTCTCACAAAAATGGAATTGCAGTGAAATAAGAAAGTAATTCATAGCCAACAGGCAAAATTAAAAGAAGCATAGTTTAATCATTACTGAAACCTTGAGGATAGATCGATGGAGGAACAGTGAGCTTCTTGAGCTAGCCCCGATAAGTTATCATTACTATTACTATAGTTATCATTGTTATTATCATTATTAGAAGTATTGTTGATATTATTATTTGTTACCATTTAATCATTGGTTGATGGTCAATTTGTCACTATATTCTGGAATTATCTTTCTCTTGTGGAACAGTATACTCATAGATATGTGGGGTGCGGCAGGTTTTACTGTTTTGAGACAAACTTTCTGCAACACTACCTTCTAGCATCATTATACAACCACTAATTCTTTACAATGCAATAAAAAATTGCTATATCAGTAGCCACATGCAGCCCTACATCGCCTATTTTCTTATACGACATGCATCTCGCATGCTGACTTCTAGGATCAGCAATGTCGAAAATTTTATGTTAGTAAATGGTAATAGATGGTTAATCCTAAGCTCGGTGACGATCGAAATTCATTATATTAACAAATTAAAGATTCACCATCTGTCACATCCTGTTGCGTTCTTTTCATTGGTCAATCTGAGCAACTACACACCTAAGGCCCTCCCCTCCCTTGTAACATAGCGTAACGACTGTCAACTGATAACAACAGTTAGTGTCAATGTTGGGTTAGTGGAGGGGTAGGTGAGCAGCTGCTCAGTCACTGACACTGATCCTATCTATTCACAATATCGTGATAAACGGAAAGGTTCCATGATCCTCAGTTATAAAGGAAATGATGCAGGTTTGGATCAGAGGGTCTAGTCACGTGTATGATAGCATTCAACTTTCGGTGGCATCATGAGAATCTTGGAAGTGGCTGAGAAACGTGCATGACGCACAGAGTCTAGGAAAAACGAATGATCATTGATTTCAATCATACTGACTAAGAACGGAATGACTGAAGGAAAAACTAAGGAAAATAGGTTTTGGTGATGAAAAAAACTTGAGGTGTCGTCAAAACAAGAACAAAAGGGCAACACAAACGAGGACCATAACGAAGACAAAATTTTTCCCTTTCACTGATCGCATCAGGCTTTTTAACAGTTACAGTGACATTCAATTTTGAGTTGTTACCAAAGTTACTAAACTATCACAAAATATTTGGAGTTAAATGTAAAGTCTTAGTCGATTAACATCAGTAGAAAAGGAAAACTTTTACGTCTTCCTTTAGTTTTCAAACGTCGGGCTGTAGGAAACTTGGAATCTTACTACCAAAACGAAGTTTAATGAAGGCTATCTTGTATACATTGACCTTTACTGGTCGGTGTTTTCTGAAGAGATAATATGTAAAGTATTCGTGCTCGATGGACGTAAAAAAACACTCAAAGCTTTATATTCATTGATCATTGGAGATGTGTTAAGATAACAAAAGTGGGCGTAGTTACTTTGTGAGATATCATATCTCACAAAGTAACTGGAAAAAAAGCTAGCCAGCGCACAAAGGTTGGAAAAAGGCGCGAGCATTCTGCACAGCGCATTTCAGTGAAAGAATCAAAAAGAGCATATACTCGAAATAGAATACGAGAGCATTTTTTAACCAAGGAATTAAATCGTTCCCGGCTGGGCTCAGAAACAGCATCACAAATTGTCGTGCAATACTGTATGTAAATTTGTTTTGGCAATGGAGTGCTTCGGTTAAAGTTGAACAGTCTCGAGCGATATTTCATTGACACTCCCAATATTTTTCCCACCAGCCAAAATATGTGTCAAGGATAGGGTTTTTAATTTAGTATTCCAGATGGCCCACTAACGTTAAATGTACCTTTTTTAATATCTTGTATCCAACAAAAACAAAATAAACAAAACAAAACGTATTACTCATTTTCAAAGCCTCTTCAAAGAGGGATCAAAAAGTTAATTCACTTATACTTTTTTCGCATATTTTTATTTTCTTGTGCAGACCCGGTAGTCGGTAATAGGCTGTTTGCTATTTATGCGAAGAAAAAAAAGCCCAAGATTTGAAATGGAAAGACTCAATAAAAACAGACCATCGTTTAAAAATTTAGAGCTGCACTACTTTTCGTTTTCAGAACTGTTACAAAATGTTGCTCGAGATCATTTATTCCTAACACAGCTCAATAAATATTGCAATGGCTTCCTATTACCTATGGCCTTTGAGTATCTACTCCAGGCGATAGTTAGAAGTCGATAGTTGGCGCCGTTTTTAGCGTTAGATTATTTTCCCGCCAAAAATGAGGGGTTAAGATGCTGTATAAAATAGTAACCATTTTTGTTTTGGAACCGTGAATATGTCTGAAGTGGAAAATTATTATGCATGAACATCTCTAAAAGAAGACCCTTTTTTGTGGTGTCTGGGAAGCGCGAGAGGCAAGTTACCCGTTTCACGCTTGCCTCACGCTTCATGCTCACCTCACGCTACCCCGTGTTCGCTTAAAACGCTCGGATACTTAGCGCACGATGTTTAAGTTGGCTGTGCCTCGAAAAAGAAGGAGTGAGTAGGCTTCCGCCGCCAAAAAATTGCTACAAAAAAGCCAGTTACTCAAGGAAAAAAATTGAACGCCTCTTCTGGAGGCAAAAACTGATATTCGAGTGCATTTCATTTCTTTAAGAGTGTTTGAATATTTTGCAATACAATGCAATTTTTCATGTTGCTCAAAAACACCCACATATGTTATATATTTCAATTTACTTTGGAACGCACCGCTAACATACCAACAACCATTGTATAAAATGATAGCAAACTTCTTGTTACGCAAAAACTGACTCATAAGGCTTTTATTGTTACTCACGAGCGTCTTTCCGTTTTTAATACCAAAATGGATTACAAGGAAAATGATCTTTTGGAA